AATGCCGTGTTCTATTTGCATGCCTTGTTCTTGCTCTTCCTAGGTATCAGATTACCGCTATTGTCCCGAGACTTGACGCTGGGCAAGACGGACCTTTGATCTGACTCAGCAGAGTTGTTTAGATGTTCTTGTATTAACACTGGAAGAATTTGCTCCTCCTGGGTTGCTACAAAGAGGAATAAAACTGTCTTCTGTGCACAGTCACTATTCTGGCATAAGCTTGCTCTGAATTACATGGCACTGACAGCTACTGAAAGCCTCAGAAGGCTTCCAGATTCAGGCATAAGCAAGGTAGCAAACTGTGTAGGAGCCTGATAGGAGTACAAGCACGGAAGCCTCCTCTGGTGAGTTCTGCACCTGCCATGATCCCAGGCTCTGCAAACACCACAAGACAAGAGGCAGCTGGGGGGTTAAGTTAACCTTGCCTCTCTTGAGTTTGGGAAGAGGACACCAGCAAGAGAAAATATTTCTAACAAAAAGAGGGAATCTGTCAAACAAAAGGCCTAATAGTCCCTGAATTCCTCTTCAACACAGAATAAGCCACAGTTATTTAACCAGTTAATATCCAGATAAACAGACCAGGACCAACATTGGGATTCTCACCAATTACACAAGTAATGGGGCTTCAAAACCAAAACACCTCCCCCCCAAGAACTCTGTGGTCCACACACTTAATCCCTCAGTTCTTAACAAGGGAGTTTGGACCACAGACTCCAAAGGCCTTCAACAATGGAAAAATATGCTGCTAAAAATGCATTTCAAAAGTTGCCAAAACCGACAATGTTTAAAGGGCGGTCAACACTTAAAAGATAATGAGTGTACACGCATGCTAATAACGCCAAGTTCACAGGTTCAATCCCGGCTCACTGCAGGGGGGTTGGGCTCGATGATCTCTCAAGGTCCCTTCCAACCCAAAGCATTCTATGATTCTGTGATTAAGGAGTACTGCCAACTCTGTAGGCCCTAGCGCAAGGACATGCTCTTCTCTACACAGTACCAAGCAGAACAGTCTACTCTAGGCTTGAGCTTTGCAGCGACCCGATCAGAATATACATCTCTTTATAGAAAGATACGCAAGAAAAAGATGACTAAGAACAATCAAGTTTGCACCAGCTGAGGATTTCCAAGCTATAAATTTTACTGAAGGTATCAAGATACTGATAGCACAATAGAACAGTAGCTTCTACACATATACAAAAATGAAATTTTGAGTGCCTACATGAAAGGTAGGTCTCATGTAGCAGAAACAGATGCAGTCAATTTCTTGTTTTTACTGTGTTTTCAAACAAAAAAAAAAGTAGAGCATGCATTTGCAGCCTTAACAGAGAAACCTCTAGAATGCCCCTAACTGCACATGAGACTTACAGTTTTGTATACAGGGAAGACCAGGCACAGTTAAACCAAAGTACAACTACAACTCGTCAGACACCACAAAGTATAAGCAAATGAAGATGCTTTACACCATTCAAATGTCAATAAATTATACTTTTCACAGAAAACAGAAACTTAATAACCGTTTATCAGAAACAATCTAGCCATTTATCTAAATTTTAAACAAAAATCGTTGCCTTCGGTGACAATTCTCAAAATACTCCTTTTTATTTAAGATCAGAGTTAGTATGTTATAACCTAAAAAAGGTTCCACTTCATCACCATGAATACACCTGCACTATGTATTTTTCCCATGCAAATAAGCACCCTAAGTTGGCCAATAAAGGCTAACACATCTCCTAGTCATTAACGTAGGATACTTTTTCATTCCCTCTTCTTTTTTAAATCTTGCTTTACCAAGCAAACCCTTCACTGTCCATTAAAAGCTTAATTAAAGAAGCCTTTAGCTCTTAAGCAGGAAAGAATATTAAAAAGCTATCAGTCCAGACCCTAGCATTACTATTGAATACAGTTATCTCAAAAAAGATGTTGTTTTATCTCCCTTTACCCCTTACCTGCTCTGGACTGAATGGTTCTTCCTGAACAAACATTACAGAGGATTGAACTGGGCAGTGATCTGGTTGTTCTCTCAGGTTTTCACGTGCTTCCTGTGTGGTCACAGATTCTTGCACTATTTCAGCAGCAGCACTTTCTACAGATGCAGCGGTATGGGTAGCACAAAGAAGGTCAGAAGGCTGTGATGGAGAACAAGTTATTGCTTGATCTGCTCCCATCACAAATGATGTGTCTGAAGCTACAGGAGTAAGAGATTCCAGCTGGCTTTCCTCAGCTGAAGAAGGTGTATCACTATTCTCATTAACCAGCAGTGGTTGACCTCTGTTAGACTGAGGGGTTGAACACTGGCTCTCCACAGGTTCCACTTTCACCATTTCAGCTTTGGGTGATGAACGCATCTCATCAACAATCTGAAACACAGCTTCAAGATTTACTTCTGTCTTCTTGTTTTCATCAGATGTATTACAAGGCCAGTTAGAGGGCAGAAATTCAGCTGCATAAGGTGACTGCATTGGAGGACTCTGAAAGAAACAAAATACAGTGAACTTTTATATAAAAAAATTACAGTGACAGCATGTGTATTGGTTCTGTAAGGCTTTGGAAATGAACATGAGCAATCAACTGAAGTGTTCATTTATCCAAAAGCCTGAAAGATTGTCTGTTATTTTTAGTTAAAATAGCAGGTTTAATTAAAAAAAAAAAAAAAAAAAAGGTTACTACTTTGTCTTGTTTTTCATTAACCACCTTACTCTTGGCATGCATGCTTTCCTCTATTCACTGTCTATTCTGGAGAGAAAGGAAGGTTACTTACCAGAAGCTGTGTACTCTTTCAGACGCATTGCCTGCATACCCTTTGCATTGCAGGTATAAGTATATCCAAGCATTCAAACCAGAGACTTCTAGACTTAGTAGGACCTGTGGGGGTACATTAGAACAACCCCCTTCACACGCCACATAAGTGATAGAAAATGATAGAGCAAATCTACCTGCCTTCAGTTCTTCTAAAACTCAAGCATTCCTGTTGTGTATAAAACCAGCACAAACCACAAGATTTTTAAACAAGAGAAAAAGGTACGTATGCTGTAAATGTGCATATGGACAACACAACTTGAGGAACTCACAGTTACTTACCAATAACATCTTTTTCCTCTTCAAATGATTGTCCATATACGCATCCACACAAGGGGTGATTCCCAGGGATGCTCCAGTCCCAAAATGAACAGGAGTTCAGATACCTATGAAAACAAATACTGTAGAACTGCCCTGTCTCTCACAGCCTCACATCTGGACACTCCTGACTGTCATGACACAGTGTCCCACAAATGCACGACTCAAAGTCTACATAAATCTGCATAAAAGCCCTATAGATCTTCAGGTCAGAAACACCTCTTGGAGAACCTGTAGAGGCTGCCTTTGCCATCACAGAGCAGGTCTGGATCATACTAAAATACTTCACTGCAATGACATCATAGGACGATAGGACACAGTCAGCAATCCAATGATAATTTTTTTTAGTAGAATTCATATAAATCAAAGAACGTTTAAAGCAGAAAGAATACAAGAGTTTTTCAAAAACAGCAAGTCCTACCCAAGTGAAATGATAAATCACATTTTAACAGCTAGTGTCTGTACTGCAATTTCTTCTGGAGATGACTCAGAGTTAAAGGACACTGGAAGGGTAATTTCTTCTGACAAATACTTGTCATATAATGATGTTGAACAGAAACTCGTGTATAATTACAATACAATCTTATTTTGGAAGAGATCTAGTATGAAGGATTAGTCCTTAGCGCCTTATTATTCTCAGACCTTCTAGCTGAGGTAATAGTTATTAAAAGGCTACTTCCATAGATGAATAAATTAGAGAACAGGAAGCCACAGGATCACCTACTAGGAAAGCCATATCAGATCAAATGCCAGTGAAGGATTTTGTCTCTCAGCAGCATGATCATCACAAGTCCCTGAAGGAAATACCACAAAGAGATGAGATCCCTTCCTCTGGGTGTATGAAGTCAAGTCCTGTTGTGGATTCATGTAGCTGTGCCAGTCTGCAGATAGCCTTAAACTTTGGAGGGTGGGGGGGAAAGGAGGGGAAGATAAAACCTGGAATTTGAGAAATTTAGATTAAGTTAAGCAAAGTCTTTTAATTAAAGGCAAGTCACCTTTATATTTTTATGATATAGGTTTAAACATAGTTCCCTTCATTTAATATTTTTTTCAGTTGTATTTTTTAAAATATTAACAAGGTGTTTCACTTTTGTTGCATTGCTTGTTTATTGTCGTCAGTAGCCAGGATTTTAAGGTCTGGGTTACCAAGTCAACTGTCCAGGAATGAGATCATCCCTGCCAAAACGAACCAAACCAACCAACCAACCAACCACCCCACCCTGCAACTTCTGCTGTCTCTTCTTAGGGGACCTCAGCTTGAAGCTGTTATAACACATAATGTCTTCTTGGATGCACTATAGGATCTCATACACATTTCCAATAGGGGAAAGTGCCCACACAAAGATACAATTTAAATCCTTTTAGTTTGTCTAGAGAAGACATGACAGACAAGGATGGGAGGGAGGCAGCAATGAAACAATGAAAAGTGATAAAAGATAGAGAAGTCAGGACTCAAGAGACTAATAGTTTGCCGGTCATTTAAGCTCAAGGGAAAAAATGGTCTAATCTAGCAAAAGCAGTGAAAGGGAAGATGGGCATTTCACTTACAAGATTAGCACATTGTACACAGGAAGTAAAGCACAACTACACCTTTTCAGGGACTGCTAGGACTAAAACAATCTGGCTTGAGTGCTTAGGCAATCACTCAGAATTAGTTCAGATTCAGTTTCATTTTGAAATAACATGGCTAATTATCATTCTTAGTATAAATAAAAGCAAACTCCTTAGGACTGCTTTTAAGGTCAGGAAAGTTTTTCTTCTCCTTTTTTTCTCTCACATTTATTTCTTCCATTTCCTCTTGCTTCAGTTCCGCAAGGAAATACTGACAGCTTAGTAACAATGCTAACAGCAACAATCAAATAGCAGGGCTGCTAGTTAAAAATTAAAAAAAAAAAAAAAAAAAAATCACTAAAATCCAATATGTAGCCTTAGTTCACACCTATGATAAAGCAGCAGGGAAATACTGCACTAATGGTTGTGAGTTGCCAAAACTGCTGTTGCAGAAGATAGCAGCAGTTTTCTCTCACAAGACTCATTCCTATCCAAGGATACTGATTCATCACACTGATCCACACCCCGCTTCAGGAGAACCCAAACAAAAAAGAGTATGAAGCTGTACCTGAGGTCCCAGTTTTGTAACCAATTGTGATGAGAGTGTAATACAAATCTCTGAAACCTTGATTTCAGAAACCTGACAAGAGATATACCATAATCAGCCACTACGTCTGGGTATAACCATCTATATCCCCTTGCTGTTCCATGTGCTAATTCCCTGTAGCTTCTTCTGGAGAGCAAACCACAGGCAGACAGACATTTACTTACTGGCCTTGCCGGACCATGTTCCAGTCAGGGTCACCTAACAGTGTCAGCAGGTCAGGTGTGTACTGTACAAGCCCAGTGGCTGGCCTCCAAGCCCCAAAAAACTGTACCTGTCTTAATCTCTCCTAAACTTAAAGCAACGCTCTCTGCAAGACTCAATAAGAACTAGCACAAGGTTTAGGCTTTCTTGTCCAACAGTGCCTATTTTTCCTTCTGAGACCACGAAGTACTGTCTGGATCCAACAGAAACAGGGCTGATAATCAGCTTGCTGACTGCCAGTGTGCTGATATGGCTCACTGTCTTCTGGACTGGTCCAGCAGGTTTGTATAAACTTTGCCAGTAGTATCTAGTAGGCCACAGCATGATCAAACAGCCTAAAATGCCCTGCAAACCACCTTTCAACAGCATTGCACTGAATTCCTGCAACTGGTGTAAGATATTGAGTGGAACAATAGAACGCAAAAGTTCTGGGGTTTGTGAAGAACGATAAAATGCTTAGTCAGCCAGGGTTGATTAATTTTACTGCTTTTGAGGATTTGTGCAAGTGGTTACTGATGATCAATACACAACCGGGGCAGGATGATCAATACTGTAGCTGGCTGCATCCCTCAGCAGAAGTTTGGGGAAGTATCTACCCCAGAGCACAAAAAAGGTAAACTGATTATTCCCCACAGCTCAGTGAGAACCACAGGCAAACTGCTGTCTTCTGTACCATCTGCACAGCCCCTGTCACCATCTTTCAAGAGAAATGATCTATGCTACACTAAGACTCAGAAATCTCAAGAAGTCCTGTTGATCCATTCTGTATGATATTTGTGTTATCCTGCTCAGAGACAGCCAGTTACTGACCTGGTAGAACTGATTTATGCCACTTCTTGCCTTTGGGCAGCTCACACAGAGGATTACATTCCAGCAATCTCTGCCCAGATGCACCAGTAGCTTTTGACTGGGACTTCCAGTATTATCAAAGCATCCACGAGGAAGTAGCCTACATCTCTTTTGACTCCACACACTGCCCATGGACTTGCTTCTCCAAACAACTGATTTTTACTAGACCCTATGGACAGTGTATTTATATTATCTTTCAATCTAGCCACAACACCACCCTTGACAACTCCTTTGGAATGATTTGCTATCCCAAACATTGATCTCAGACTTGTGAGATAAGGAGTTATTTCATTGTGACTTCCCATCACTCAGACTGATCCTCATGTCCTGGATGAAAAAGCAGCTCATGATGAAAGTGAGAAGACAAAGATGCACTGAGTGAAAAATAAACACTGGACTATCAATGGCATGATTGGCCAGTGGCTATTTACATCCTTACACCAACATGTTCTTCTGGCCGTAACCTGGCCAACTTGGATAAGCTTATATAAAAAAAAAAAATCATGAATAAAAGACAAAGGTTTGATATTTGCAAGACAAGAAACTGGATGATCAGGCCTGGGTAGGTCAACCCTTTTTCAACATACATAAGCATAACTTGCTTTGCTTGTCCTCTGTGAGGAAAAAAAAAAAAGTATATGCATTATGCTGTAATAGAAAAGGAAGCCCTTGCATTTTTACTTCAGATCTTTTGATATTTGATAAGCCAGGCCCTCAAGATAAGGTGCAGTTTCCACCAGAATTATATAAAGCATTTACAGTAAGTACTGTAGTTATCTTTAACAAGACATCTCTGAGATGGGGCCAATTCCAAAAGTCACCTTAGTTTTTTCTCATTCATCAAATGAAACTCAGGACTGCAGAAGGCTGTCTGGGACAAAAAAGTGGAGCCGTTTCCCAGTATTTTCATAATATTAAAGAATCTCTTTTCGCCCAGGCAAGGACATTCTTCAAAGATAAACATAGACTCATTAACTAAAATGAATTCTGGTGAAGTCAAGCAAAAAACTTATATAGAAAACACTCCATTGATGAGGACACCCACTATGCTGCTACCCTGAAACCTAACTTGAATTACAAAACTACCCATTTAAAGTTCAGTGGTTCTTTGAAATAGGTATTTGTAAACCACAGTACTTTCACTTTCTCAAGCAGATCAACTTTCAAATTTATATCCTTCACTCCAGAAGTCCATAAACCTACAGTTCATTCATACAGTCTCCTCTGCTTTCACCTGATTTCAGTATGCTACACTCACCTGGAAAAAGCTGCAGTGGGTGTATGTTGAAGCTGTAGGACTAGCACAGCCAGTCAGAGGATCTATGTGGGCAGGTGGTGAACAACACTGCAGTGCAGCTGCAAGAATTCAAACACAGTTATCAGACTTCCAGAATTTGTGTTTGGTATGCAGAGTTCTATTGCTTATTTTGATTAAACATTTCAATAATCACACAGTAAAGTAAATTCCAGAAATGTATTATTACGTCCCAAGTGATTTTAAGACTGATTTCTTAATCTTAAAAAATATTTATTATATGTGTACATATATTAAAAATGTATATTGTAAAATTGATATACACACACATAGAAACTTCATAATCACAGGTTTTTGTATCTTAATATCACCTTTTTTGATTTGGCTGCTTGACTTTCTCATCACAATATACCACAGAAAGTGGATTCACATAGGAAGAGCCTAGATGTTCAAACACACACAGAGAAATTAAACAGTGATTTTATTATAAAAAGCAACTCTGTAGATGAGGCAGTATTCTGCAGGTATTATATCTGGTGACACGCAGAGATAATTGAAAAGTAAAGGCATTATTTGCAGGACAGATAACCTTTAAAATCTGCGATCATTCTGAGAGAGAGAGAAATCCTTGATGAAATCAAATTTAGTCCAGTGTTCATAATAAGTAAATGTAATGAGTATAACTTGAAATGGCAAACAGATCAGATCAATTTATTTGCAATGCTTGACACTTACACAGGATTTCACATGAACCAGTTGCTACGATAACCAATATAGTTTTTTGATATCTATACCTATTGCCCTTTTTAATATGATGTTGCTGAATTTTTGTGCAGTTTGGAGCAACAAACATGGGAGCTAAACAACACAGAAAGAGCTAGTGGACATCCTTCTAAAGAAGCATGATATGTGTATGACTCATGTTACTTCAAAAGCTAATTCTGAGCAACTTTATGATGAAATCTGGACATCTTTCAGAAGAACATTCTATGACCTGTGAATGTATTACAATTCTGGATATTGCCAAAAACCTAAATGATATCTGGGTTTCACTCACTGGAAACTCCAAAGTACATTTACAAACCCAAGAAAACCACCAAAGAAAACTTTTGAAGGGCTATTGCAAAAACAATGCAAGAGAGCAATGACAAGGGAGAAATTTCTTGTAACCTGCTGGAGTGATTCTACAGAGAAACAAACACATATTACAAAGAACCTATTTGCTAAGAAAAGAAAAGGAAGGACCTGAAGGGGAAAAGTGCTTGTGAAATAGTAGGTAAGTCCAGATCATATGCTATTAAAAGCTACAAGTAAAATATAAATGACAGTATTCTTACAGTTAGTAGAGCTTATAGAAAAAGCAATTAATTAATCAAACAAATTGTTATGTTTGTAAATCAAAGTGAGGAGAACAAAAATAACTGTGTAGAAGACGAGACTGATGACCGATTCTAAATGGTTCTGAAATGCAGAATGTTGCATAAAAAGAATGGTTTGCACTCACAAGAACTTTTTTTTGCCAGCTTATAGGCTATGGGAGTGACTGATCTAATAGCAAGAACAACTGCATCTGTCGAAATATCACGGGAGACACAAATTAAGACTGTAGTCTTAACAGTAGTCAGTCAAGAAGCAAATCCACTGTAAGATGGAGGCCAATTTTAGATAAGTGCCACTCATCACCCATAGTCACAAAAGGAGAGTCACCGTATATCCAAACAACTTTTTAAATAACACTGAAGAAAGCATTTACTGATGGGCAGGCAGTGTTATCAAAGGCGAAGGTGTTGATTCATTTATAATACTTCAAGTCTTCAAATTGAATCAAGATTCAACAAACATACCTGCTTCACTCACATGCTTTTGTCCTACATTATCAATTGGAGAGAAGAAATTTCTAAGGTCTTTTGTCTAAGATACAGTTATTCTAGTCATACCCAGAAGAAATTACCAGCTAAAGCACATTCTGTCACCAGCTGTTACGAAATAACTCAGAGTGAACATAGATCTCATTTGAATAGTAAGGAGACAGGGATGAATGGCATCTTATGGAATAAATGAATATTTACTGAATAAATTAAGAAAAAGATACAGCCACTTCCATCAAACAAGATGGATCAGTCTTAAAAGAGATTTGGTTTCTGCCAAAAGAGAGACGTGCTTCTGCCCATACAAGCTATGGATGGAAGATTACACACACTCTTTACGACACAATATGTGGAATATGAACAGTGATTTATGAAAGTGGAATTGCTGTCAGTGAGGCTATAACCAACCCAGCAACGGAGCCCTGAGAACCAGTGGAGATCAATGAAGAGCACAGTTCACAGAAGAAGGAAAGGACTGAACACTCTGCATCACAAATATTCTTGCACAGAAGTCAAATGACTGTATTTCAAACATAGTGAAAATATCTTTGGATATCCAAAGAAGTTGCAAAGAAATTGAGCAAAGAAATCAATACTTCTAAAGGAAGTTATTTAGAAGTATGTTAACAAAAAATTTATAAGCAAATACAAGTTATAAATCTGACAGCTGAATAAGAAAAATTAGAAGGAAATACAATGGAATAGAGAATTAGTTGACACTGGATAATATATAATAGAGAGAAGTCAATTAAGACTTCTTTTTGTTGAAGAAGTCACCCTTCATTGCCCTTTTGAAAGGCCTCCAGTAAGTAAACAAACATGGATAACTGTGATCTTGCTGATATGATATTTAGATTTCCAAAAAGCTTTTAACAAAGTCATCATCAGAAACTCTTACAAAAACTGAGCAACAACAGCATGAGAGGGAAGGCTGTACATTTAAAAAATAATCTGTTTTAAAGATACAACACAGAAGACAGGAATAAACAATCACTTTTTACTGGTAAGTGAGGTCACCAGGGGAGGTCCCCAAGGACCGGCACTGGAACTCATGCTGCTCATCATTTTAATAAAGTACTTCAAAAATTGAGTGAGTGAGCAGTGAGGTGATGCTTGCTGATAATACCAGGTTATTCATGTCAGAAAAGAGCAGTCACCTATAAAGATGCAAGAAAAAAAAAACCCTTATGAGTTTCCCAGAGCCACCACCCACCAGATAAAGCTCTACACTCAGGAAAAATCAACTAATTTCACACAGAAAATGATGGGTTCTCAGTTGTCAATCAATAATCAGGAACTAGATCTTGGTTTTATAATAGATAGTGTCAGGAAGACATTAGCTTGACATGCAGCAGCTGTCAAAAAGACCTCCGAAGTCACAAATGAAACAATCAGATTGTTAGGAAATAATACAAAAGGGAACAGAGGATGAAATAGGTACATTATTACTCCACTGTATAAATCCATCATTCACCCATACTTTGACCACTGTGTATATTTTCGGACTCTACATCTCAGTAAGACAAGAACAGAACAGGTTACAGGGAAGGCAACATGGATGATGTAAAGAACACTTTCCTGAAAGAACAGCTAAGTGGGCCAGGACTCTCCTTTCTAGAGAAAATGCAACTGAAGGAACTAAAATACAAGTGTTTAAAAAAATGAGTGGTGCAGTGAGAGGGATATGGATATAGACACATTCACATAAAAAACAAATGGAGAATTAATGAATATGCAGTAGGGTGAAAAGAGGCAAGAAAAGGTGACTCTTTGCACAAAATGCAATTAACATGAGAAATAAAGTCTTTGTCACAGATGTTGTCACAAGTCTACATTGGTTGAGAGAAACAGACAAGTTCATGGAAGTGAAATCCACTGAGGGATATTAAATACAACTTGTGTTACAGTTTATTAATTCCCTGAGCCCACACTGTTGGAGTATGGAAAAGCATCGGTCCACGCTTGCTCTACTCCTGCACTCCTCCTTGAGCATTACTGTCAGAGGAAATGATGAGCTATATGGACATTTGGTCTGATCAAGGCTAGTATTCTTATCTCCAAAGCAGAGAACTATTCATTAGAGAATTATTGAGGCATTCACTGAATCCTGTTTTCTCAACACTGGAAAAAGGGATGAATTGTATAAAAATAAGCACGTGAAATTTAGCTGAAGAGATGACAATATTTACACCACATTCTTATATACATCTTCCTCCTCTTGAGATAATATTATTTTGTAGGCTCTCAAAGTTTCAATAGAGAAGAGCAAATCAATCATAATCTTTGCTGAAGACATGAAGGCTACAGCTCTACCAGTAAACTAAATGCATCTAGATCCATTCTCTGGCACAGTCTGTTAATACTACTAAAATCTCTTACTCTTCCAAGTCAAAACAGCCACATCCAAACAGCCTGCTGGGAGCGGT